AGCGTTCCTTTAGAATCCTTTCTGCACATTTATGGAATAGCCTGCCATTCGTGCCGCGTAATATACCGGTGGCTTTGATAAATTTCAAACTGTGTCGTTTGAGGCTCTGTTGAAGAGATATCTGCGTCAACATGCGCCTGAAACTGACATTACTACCATCCAACTCATCTTACATAACCAAATTGTAAATTTCCAATTTTCTACAAATGTCCTCCCTTTTCTTGCGCGCGCACGCAACATGAATTCTCTTGAGAAACACGTGATAAAATATATCTAATTTCACAAGCGCCTTGTAAACAACGCTTTCTCTCACTTTCCCTCTCTCCTTCTCCCGCCTCTCTGGGAGATTAGAAGCGTTTCAAGGAATATTCTTCCTAAATTATCTCGTTACCTTCGTGCGCCTCTCTCTCTTTCTCTCTCTCTCTCTCTCTCTCTCTCTCTCTCTCTCTCTCTCTCTCTCAAGATTTCCCGCACGCTCATAATCATCCGCGGCTGCGGCGGAACGGCGGTAATTGTCGGTCGCGCATAATACAGCGCTTCTCGTGCACAACACTTGCTGTGTACGATGTAAAATCAGTGTTTCCGGGCTTACGAAATTGCGCAGCGCGCAAAGATGTCGGCTACACTCGTCGTTATGCAAGCGAACGCGAGGCAAAAAACAGACCTCAAAGGTGACTTTCGCGACGCTGCGATCGCGGGGATGGGACGACAGGCGATTAAAATAATCGAGCGCTATTTGCGCTCAATAACGACGAGCGACATTTAACCTTCTTGATAGAGGCTCTCGTGTGATTTCAAAGTTCTACACCCGTGTGTCTATGCTCTTAAAGCTTTATAATAAAATGAAATTGCAGATGGCGAGACACAAAAATGCGCGAAATGTGCGAAACGAACGGCGTAGAAGTCAATGGAAATAAATTGAATAAGTAACGAACGGAAACACACATAACTCTCACTTTCTCTGTTATTCTTTTAGAAGCAAACAGAATCATCAACTCCAATAACGAGTCATAGAAGATACATAGACGAGCTGTAGAAGGTGAATCTCTTAATTCCTTGCTATTCCACCTATAACTATAACATAAGTAATAATCGTATCAATGGATGGTCGCTTATATTCGCGTCCCTTTACATATTTTAGCTTACGGCAGCTAGCTTATGGGTTCTTTTCATTCGTCTCGGACCATCGATCTCAACTTTCCAGAAAGTTATTTTTCATCGATCGGCTGACGGTAGCCTAAAGATCGTCGATCATTCGGCAAGCAGATGCGCGCAATATATGCGATAGCCTCGAAAGCGAGCTGTCGATCTTCGGAATATTCCTCGAACATCTGCCCGATAAACCGAGCTTCTCCGCGCGTCGCCTTCGAATATATCCGTGCCGGCCGACGGGGCTTTCGTTGATACACCGCAACGAATAGCGTGTAAAGTTTACCGCGCAGCTAATATTCGTTACGCCAGGCTGATTCGCAACTTGCCAAATCCAATCTCTATAATTCTACAATTACATTATGGAAATATAACTCCCGCCGAAAGTGGATTACGCGATTGTAAGAGAGAGAGAGAGAGAGAGAGAGAGAGAGAGAGAGAGAGAGAGAGAGAGAGAGAGAGAGAGAGAGAGGGAGAGAGAGTCGCTCTCCCTCTCTTTCTCTCGCTTACGGGCGCGCAGTCGCGCGCACAGAACCGCCGCTCGCGAAATTTCGCGCGCTGCTAAACGCGCCCGTTAATCAAATAATCCGGTTATCTCGTACCTGAGCATTCTGTACATTATTACGACAATAGCTTTTCCCCGGCTGCGCCGAGCGAGAGAAGGAGCAAGAGGGAGAGTCGCGTAAAACACGAGCGGCGTCCGTGCGGCGAGTGCGCGACTCGCGAGTTATCGCCGAAGACGCGAAATACCGATCTCGCTCCTCGAAATCGCAGTCGCTGACGAGGGGGCGCGGAGGGAGGCAGGAGGAAGGGGAGGAGGCGAAGGAGAACAACGAAATTAGGAAAATTTACAGGCACCAGCCGCTTCTCTGTCTTGCCGAGCGCTTCCTAACTCGTATCAATCTCTATCACTGTACGGCGCGGAGAATCGGGATGGGGGCCGAGAGGGGGGATACGCTCGCGTTTCAGCGAACAATGCAACCGCCTCTGCGCAACGCAGCAGACGTTCCGAATCTTTGGAATTCCACACCGCGGCCGGAATACCATAATTTCGTGTTTTTACGTATTCCCCGCTCGGGAATTTTCGACGGACGCGGCAGGCCTGAGCAATTCGGCGTTTCGCTCAGCGCGCGCGCGCGCAAGCGCGTCCAGCGAAGCGCACGATAACGTCTAGGTGGACTCCCGTGCTGATGAGGGCTTTATAACGACACTCGTGAATCTAGGTTCTCAGACGTTCACAGTGTGTCACTGAGATCTCTCTCTCTCTCTCTCTCTCTCTCTCTCTCTCTCTCTCTCTCTCTCTCTCTCTCCCTCTCTCCCTCCCTCCCTCGCTCTCTCTCTCTCTCTCTCTCTCTCTCTCTCTCTCTCTCTCTCTCTCTCTCTCTCTCTCTCTCTCTCTCTCTCTCTCTCTCTCTCTCTCTCTCTCTCCCTCTCTCTCTCTCTCTCTCCCTCTCTCTCATTAGCCTAAAGTAATTTTTAGCGACGGAGATTTTTTTTTATCGCAGTCATGAAGGACATGTAGTTGGTTCTTGAGAGCCGAATTTGGCCCGCGAAAAAGCGGAGATTCCGTCTCCTTGGAGCATTTACTTTCTCGCGTTAATTCGAGCAATTTTTCTCTCGCGCGTATATCGTACTGAATTAATCGTAAAATCTACACGGTACAGTAATATAAATTTTCGGTAATATCAACATGCAAATTTGTCTAAAAGTATGCTAAAATGTTCCACAACGTGTATCGTCCCGAGTAAATTTCGATCATATTTCTCCCGCATTTCTCTCGTATTTCCATCTCCTCGGTTCATGCGATAAATGCGAGAGCGCTACATGAACCGCTACGCGCGATGCAACCTGCACGAATCGACCGGCGAAGTTGCAGCTATATATTTATGCACAGCGGTCCCTATTTATCAGGCCAGCGATAACGACGAAATTACGAATATCGCGTGTGAAATTGCGAATAACAGCGCGAACGACGGCGCGCGCTCCGAGCGATCCGATGTCGCTCTTTATCGCGATCTCCTTTATCGCAAGTGCCATTCGCGCGGCCGCCGCGCGTTTCAGATATATATTGCAGTTTGGAAAGAGAGCGACAGAGGAAGCGACACAAATGGCTAAGGCAAACACGGATCTAAGAGCGCGCGCATCGCTCTCACCTCGCCGTGCGATCTTTGATAACCGGGATCGCTCGCTGGCACGTGACTCGAAGCGCGAATTCCTTATCAGTGGAGACACAGCGCGCGACTACGATAAATCAATAATAAAGCCCGGACGACGAGCTGTTATGTGCAGCTAGTTAGCGTGTGTATATACACACGCGTACGGCACAAGCGTGGATACGAGAGAGAGAGAGAGAGAGAGAGAGAGAGAGAGAGAGAGAGAGAGCGCGCGCCGACTGTTTAATGAAATAATTAAATCAACACTATTAAGCAGTGTCAATATACAACGACTGAGAGTCGCTTCGTTCGCGTGGCGAATTCCGTTCGCGCGATCGTCCGTAGATTATGAGTTTATCTCACTTCGGACAGACCCGCTTCATCCTTAAATAATTCTCCTGAAAATGGAATTAGGCCTCTCCCGGGGGAGTGGTTAATTTCATACCGCGACAAAAGCTCTCCCGCAGGCTTAGGAGAACGACGGGCCACGAGCGAGCCGGATTAAATGGACTTGCGCGATTTCTTTTTCTCTCTTTCTCGAATTGGAAGGAGTCCCAGCCCAGGCTCGAATAAATGAGAAAGTCGTACGAGCGACGAGTCACGAGTAATTGTTAATTGCAGCCGCCCGTTATCGAGAGACGTTTATCAAATGCATCGCGGGAAACGAACAGACTCGTGGCGAGACTCGCCTAATGGAGCCGCGCGATCGTTCGAGTCGACCCTGGATGGAATATGTAAATGTGTGCGACTCCTCGGCGATGCCTCGCTCGGAGATGCGTCGGCGCCGATTCGCAGCGACGCTGGAAATAAATTTACTTAAACGTGACTCATAGAGAGTCCGTCATGAAGAAGCAGCCGGCACACGACGAGACGCAAAGGGTCGATGATGATAAGCGGTCGCTCGCTCGGTCACGCGGCCGCTATCGGCAATCGGAACTGACCATTTTAATCCCACGGTGCATTCGCGAGGCTTTGATTCCGTTGCCGCGCGCACGAGTGGACGTGATCATCCGGCCCGAAAGGGCGGACCGTTAGAATCTCCGAGGAGAATCTCGCGGTCGATTGTCGCGGCTCGGTCAGCCGTGACGCGGCAAATCCGTCTTTCGCGAAATGCGAGCAGAGCCGCGCGGCGCTCTGTCGCTCCGTCGCGCTTACGCGACGATCGAATCGCGAGACTGAGAGAGACATCGGTAATCAACTTTCTCAGCGACATCGACGTGCGTTTTCCCTGTCGCTGCATCGTGCATTGTCGGCAAGCGTTTCACGCGGAGGAAAAGACAAATCTCGTCAGGTGTGATATTCACGTCGCTTTGCAATCGATGCGTTGTTTTGCAATTTTAAGAAACTCGCCCCTCTGAAGACGATTAGACGGGAGTTTAGCGAGGAGCTGAAGGAAACGGCGAGATTATTATTATTACTATTAATATCATTCTTACTTCGTCATCGTCATTGTTGCAGTCCGACAGAGATACAGATCACGCAAAGTGCCATCGATCTCGACGACTCATCGCGGAGATATCCCGCGGGAGCAATAATAACGCGCGAGTGATAAAAGCGCCCATCAACGCGAGTACAGAGCGAGTGCAGAGATATCACATGTCGTGAAAGAGAGAAAAGGACGCGAAGCAAGCCTCGATATCGTTAATCTGTCAATCGGACGCGACGACGTCCTGGCATCGTCGTCCCGCCGACGCCGACGCCGACGTCGCGTCGGTCAGCCGCGCGCCAGTCGCGAGATATCTACTGATACTTTTTAAATGTAGCAGTCGTGCTGTGCAGACTTCCCAGTATTACGTCGGCGCCTGACCACGCCGCACGGCCAGCAATTCGCTCGGAATCGGATTCAGCCGAGCTGCCGAGCCAGCCAGGGTCGCGCCACGGCGGGGACGGCGGAACGGAGTATCGAGCCGAGTCGGAGACGCAAACGGAGCCACGAGTGTTTGTGAATGAACCGGTGAACGTTATACGGTGATTGACCATAGATCTTCTTCGACGTCTTATCCGCCATCTCTCGCGATCGCGCGCGCGAGAGAGAGAGAGAGAGAGAGGAGAGGGGGAACGATCGATCGAAGTCGAATCGTCGGAGCGTAACGAGCGGGCAACCGCTCGTAATTCCGCGAGTTGACAAACGGACGACGGCAGAGATCGCGAGAGCTCGATAGCTGGCCCGAAGAGTGCCCGAAGAGTGCTGAAGAGGAGTGCTGCCGAAGCGACCGCAGGGATCGTTCCCGCTGAGGCAATGAAATCTCGCCGCGCGAGATGACGCTTACGTAACGACGCAGAGTGACTATCGTCATCGTTAATCGGCCGGGAGGAATATGCCTGGCAACCTTGACGGACGTCGCACACGTCGAGCAGCATGTGGATAACGCGGACGTCGTGCCCGACGACGCCATCGACATCGAGCAGGTGACACCGCAAGTAAGAGACGACTCTCTTCCGTGTCTTTCCCTGCCTGCCGTCGCGAGAATCGTCGAGGGGGAGAGATTTCGCGAGAGAGAGAGAGAGAGAGAGAGAGAGAGAGAGAAAGACGAGAGAGAGAGAGACGAGAGACGAGAGACGCTCGATCGCCATTTAGTGACTGTGTGAAAAATTCAACGACGTGCACTCTCGAGCGAACAAGGGGATAAGGAGGGTCGCGGCAGGCAGAAGGGTGAGGGATGAGCGGTAGGGAGGAATTTAACGATTTAATCCAAACGAGTAATAACCCACCTACGAAATTGCGCCGGAGAGTTGAGAAACTTTCGCGCCGGCGAGAGTTTCCGCGCGGGCGAGCAGGCAGGCGCGCGAAAAGTAAAACTTGTAATCTCGCACTCGTGGAAAAACTTTTCGTTACAATATTAGAACGTAAACGTTAGAGATCACGGTAAGCGACGGCGAATAACGGAAATTGAACTTATTCCCTTCTCCGGACCATCCGCGCCATCTTTTTCCGATCGGTCGCCGTTGAACAGGTCACGACGGCGGAGCTTTCAATGACGTCGTTCCGACATATAATAACGTCAATGGCGGCGCGGAAATATATATATATATATATATATAAAACTTAACTCTCGCACGGCCGGGACGATATTAATTTTATTATACTCGTCGCTCCTCTTTCCGGCGAATCGCGCAGCGAGATAGAAAGCGGGGAGGACACTTTCCCCCCCCACCCCCCACCCTCGTCTCTCCCGAGTCGTTCTCTCTCAAGTCGCTCCTCATCGGGGGCGAGAGCCCGAAAAACTTGGAAATCACCGAGTCGGTTGATCCGCGCGAAATCGCCCGGCGAAACCTCGCCGCGACGCGACAATCGCGCGCGCATTTCCGCCTGATGACGTTAGCGGATCACTTCCTTACGCAACTATGCGCCGCTCGCCGCAGCCGCGAGCGATACGTCATTTGCCGCAATTACTTTACCGCACATTTTACAAAGAGTCTGCGGCTCGCGTCGCGACGGCACGTCCGGATAAAAAAAAGAATAACATCGCGATGGAGCAATGCTCCAACAAGCTGGAGCAAGTTTGACAAGCGTCGTTTGCCGAGAAAGGGGCGCAACACTGCAAACCCGAGTGTGTTATTTTGACGCGTAGGAAGCTGAAGCTTCCTTTGCGCGTATCTTGTCGTCTGAAATCACGTCGTTTAACGCGTTTAAACGCGTTAAGTGATATCGAAATCAGCATCAAATGACGTGATTTCAGACGACAAGAAACGCATGAAGAAAGCTTCAGCTTATACGTGTCCAAATAACACACTCGGGTTTGCGGTGAAAGCTCCGCCGCAACAGCACTTCGTCTCGAGGACACGCGAATCCCGCGGACGGTCGGTCGCGCGACGGAGGATGAGCCCCGCGCGCGCGCGCAGTCTCGAGATCTCACGAATGCCAGGTGGCCGATCGCGTCGCCCTCATCCATCCATTTCCGCGATACATCGAAATAGAATAAATAGTTCGTAAGAATCGCGATCCGCCCGCCGCGATCGCCGTCGCATCGGCGCATTCTGTCGCGCGCGCGCTATACGCTTCTGACCGATCGGCCGATTCAACGGGCCGAAATGCACGTCTCTCATTGCAATTGCAAATCCATTCGATACTTTCCTGACACGAATTCATTCAAGAGAACGCTCGGATATTAGCCATTAGCATCGCAGACTCGACGTGATCCGACATGACTGTTCGCGCGACTCATATCACGATTATTCATATCACGATCGCGCATTTTTGTCGAAAAGGGCCGCAGCACGCGGATGCGCGATCAGGGTCGGCGGCAGGGGGGCGAGAGAGGATAAGGGAAAGAGGAAAAGACATCGAGACGCGCGTTCGCGCCTGATACACCCGTCGATTTATTAAGCGCCCGACCAACAAAATAAGGACATTACATAAATCGTCCTATTATAATAAGGTAATGTAAAAATATCCTGTCGCGGAATATCGAGTGATTCGCCTCCGGTCGAAAAAGCCCGTTCCGTAAAGCTTCGTTGTTTGATGTTCTATTTTACATTTTCCCGCACACAGACACGCGCGCGCACGCGCGTGTGTTGGACAAGGTTTCGCGACGAGAAGATGCTTTTTATATCCCGCTCGATGTGGCCGAACGACCTCGCGGTTACTAATTAGCGGCTCAAGCGCGAAGTGTTCCCGTCGTCGAGGAGGGGAAAGAGGTTCGCCATCGGCCGCGCGCGTAAACGCAACGTAACCGTTTCACCTGCGCGGCTCCGGTGTGTTGCGTAACACGGCGCACGGCATGACGCTTCACAGCCACCTCCGGTAAACAGATAAAGTGAACTACGCGCGGGACATCTCTTCTCCTTCTTTTTCTCTCGCGGGACGATCTCACGGCGTTCATTCATGCGGCGCGCGTGGCCGCCACTAGCCGACCGCGTGATTCGTTTTCGCATGACGTGCGATTATTTCGGCCGACGACGGAAATAACCAGCCGCTTTCGGCGAGCGGCCCAAGTTCGAAGCAAGACATAGACGTACGCGAGAGAGAGAGAGAGGGGGGAGGGAGGGGGAGGGAGGGGGAGAAGGGGAAGAGGAAGAGAGGGGAGGGAGGGAGAGGCGGAGAGAGAAGGGGAGAGGGAAGGGAGGGGGGAGGAGAGAGAGAGAGAGAGAGAGAGAGAGAGAGAGAGAGAGAGAGAGAGAGAGAGAGAGAGAGAGAGAGAGAGAGCAAACTGTCTTTTGATGGGCGATTCCGATGGTCGTCTCCGGTTTTGTTTTTCTTTCGCTTTCTTCTGCCGAACGCGACCTGGACGCCCAGGGATTGCGCGAGAAAATTGCGGAACGAGGGAGAACATGGAGTGAGGGGAGACAGAGAGGAAGCAGGAAGGAAAGGTAGAAAGGAAGGGAAGGACGGAAGGGAGAAAAAAGGGAAGCAAAAAGAGAGACACGAGGAATAAGCGGGGCACTCGGCGACCTCCTCGCAAACTCTTGGCAATAAACCGTAGCAAAAAACACGGCGAGGCAGCATCTGACGCTGTCAAAAAGTCCCTAATGCGAATCCGGGGGCTGTGATACTGCAGACGCGACCCGCGCGCGTGCGCGCGCGCGCGGTCCTTCTCGTCGTTACGCAAAGTTCCCTTTTTTTCTACCGAAGCACGGCCCAAGAGAGAAAGAGATAGGGGAGAGGGGAGGAATGAAGAGATGGAGAGAGACAGAGAGGGGGGGGGGAGAGCGACGGGAGAGCAACGACGTCGCAGTCGTCGTCGCCGCCGCCTCTGCCGTCATCAGCAACTACCGCCACGAGCGACACGAAGGAGAGAATCGGTCCAGGTCGTGGCAGCTGGATTTGCATTGTAAAGTTTCCCGTCTCTCTGCGTCCTACGTGCGCAATTTCGCTCAATTGCGCCGTCGCTGCCGTTGCTGCCAGCATCGGGTAAAGCTAGTTACAAAAGCTCCTTCGCTTCTTCCCGCCCTTCGTCTCCCATCGTCTTCCGCGATCTGATAAAGGTTCATGCATTCCGCTCCCAGAGGGTCCTCCTCCTCGCTTCTTCGAATCGGAGGTACGCGAGAGCGAGATAGAGCGAGATTGAGGAGAGGGGGGAGAGAGAGAGAGAGAGAGAGAGAGAGAGAAGAGAGGGACAGAGACGGAGAGTCTCGGTAACGCCGGAGAAACGTAACGTCGATGTCAATTACCGGAAAGATGTACGGATACTTCATCTCCAGAAGCATAAAGTCTCCTCTCTCTCTCTCTCTCTCTCTCTCTCTCTCTCTCTCTCTCTCTCTCTCTCTCTCTCTCCTTGGTAAATTCGGGCCAGAGGCCTCGTTAACGAAAATTTCATTCTCAAATTCAGATTAGCGGGGCTCCCAGAAGATTAAAAGCAAGAACCCTCCGGTCCAGGACTAATTAGATTCCCGTTATTAAAAAGCCCTCGACCGCGAATTGGTAACGCGATCAGCGCGCTGCGGCGAGACGCGATAGTTCGCTGGGCAATCTCGCGTTTCGTATCACGATGAGAATTCGACGCTGGGGCATGGCGGCAATAAAAGGGGGCCTGGGAGATCGAAACTGTGCGCGTTCGTCGACAGGCGATTTTGCATATTAATCAGATGTCCCGGTTTAAGTAACTTTCGGATAGCGATTTCGAAAGGGACGAGCACGTTTGCATCGTGAGAACGCGGTACAAATAAGGAAAGTTCTTCTTCTTCTTCTTCTTCTTGCCGGCCGATGGGGAATCCTCTTAGGCGTTTGCGTCTCTTGACAAAGTTTATTTAACGAGCAAAATGCTCCAATAGCCCGCACTCGCGCGGATTTCGTCAGATGCTAAAGCGCACGGCAACTTATCAATCAATTGTTATTTATTATTTATTTATTTTTAACCCTTATACGTCTAAGAATTCGACGTCTATTTACCCCTGTTACCTCCTTTGTCGTTTCCTGCATTGTTGCATCTATTGCATATTTTTTTTTTATTTTTCCTCAAATTTATATATGCGCTCTCCTCCCCCCTCTCTCGCTCCGAACTTGAGGGATTTTATTCGAGGGCGTTGAATAAATAAAACTCGATATTAATGATAATAATAAAGCAACTGCCAACGTCTCTTTCACAAGCCTATTGTGCGCAATATATATATACATATATATATACTAGGTGCGCAACTAAGTTTCCGGGTTTTTTTGATCAATGAAAAATGGAAAATTTCAAGAGAAATACAAAAATGGTTTATTCAAAGTATCGTCCCTCGCTAGCTACACATTTTTGCCATCTCTCTGGCAATACATGAATACCGCGACGATAAAACGACGCGTCTTTGGACCGAAACCATTCATCCAACCAATTTTGCACTTGTTCGAAATTGGCCAAGTGTTGCCCAGCCAAGGCATGCGCCATCGACCACGTGATAATCGGAACAAGTGATAATCGGAAGGGGCCAGGTCTGGCGAATACGGCGGGTGCGGTAGCAGATCCCATTTCAGCGTTTTGATGGTGTCCTGGACGATGGAA